CTGCGGTAAAAGAAAAAACCAAGTCATAAAAGAAACAATTGAGCCAGATGCATCGAACTATATTGCAGGACTCCCATCATAAAATGCACAAGTTAATGGAGAGAATATTTACAATTAACACATTCATCAAAATTCAAAAGCATCATAATGGATAAACAAAAATGATTCAATGCAGCTAAATAAACGTAAAGGTGAGAAAATGCATGAAAATTCGTGTGTAGTTATTACATCCAACCATATAAACGTGAAGGAAAGAATGCACACTGTTCATGGAGTAGCAAATAGTCAAAAGAAAATTCAGGAACAATCTAAAACGAAGGGCTTAAGGAAAATCTAATAGTTCTGTGCAAAATGCCTATAGTCATACCTAAGCTTCACATAGATTTTACTACACAGCTCATGACAGGATTCCTAATCTTCATGGATTTTACTACACGGAGCTCATGACAGGATTCCTAATCTTCACTCCATTCCCTCACCCCACCCCAAAAAAAAAAAAACCAGGGCAGAAAAGTTTCTTTGCAGGAACACTGATAATTTATATACGTCTTTTAAGATGACATAAATTTGCTTATTGAACATTGCCAGGCTGGAATATTGCTTGATCTTCCCTCAACACCTATCATTTACTGTCTACACAAGCATTAAGCAAATTGTACATGCAATTTTCCACAGCTTATTGTGTATATTTCTTATGCTTGTAGAAACCAGATGGGTGGCCGATGGTGGAAGAAGAGAGGGGGGAGGGGGGGAACAAGCATCAGCTCATGTAGATGGTCAATGAAGGACAGCATGCAACCTCTAGTCAAATAATACTTTATTCTTTTCACTTGCACCGGTATTTTGATTAATATAATTAAATTAGCATCCTGATTTACAAAATACATTTAAGGAGCAACCAACAGAGAGAGGATGACTAGCAGAGGGAGCATTAATTTTTAGACTAACAAATGGAACCGATAACCGTGGCAGAACTGATTAACAAAACAATCACTTAGTTACTAGCACTCTGTTCTAAACACGAACAATATATAAGATTGTGTTCATTACCTTCGTCATCGCTATCGTCATCACCCATACCATCAAAATTCATGCCGCCCATGCCCCCCAAGCCCCCCATGCCACCCATGCCGCCCATGCCGCCCATGCCGCCCATGCCACCAAAGTCACCCATGTCACCCATGTCACCAAATTTCTGAAATAGATGTCAATCACCAAAAACGTCATAAGGACCTATGGCAAAAATCTTTGAAATGACAATCCTACACAAAAGATATATCCTTACCGAGAAATCCATTCCGCCCAAATCCAAGTCTCCAGGACCTAATCAAACCATGAAGAGCAATTATGTCTTCAAGAAGTTCATATCATCTAAACTTGCATAAACAAACTCAGATATCATAAAAAATAGGCAATACCTGTGTCATCATCTTCATCAGCCCATTTATCCCAATCTACTTTAATATAGTGAGGTGCCTTTCCATCTCCACGCAATAGCTTCTTCCACCAATTCTTCTCTGCTTTCTCCAAAACACAGAAGATATTTCTCACCCCAATATTTATTTTGCTCTCCTATAAAAGCAAAATAGGTAATTTACATTGGGCAAAACATGCGACAAAGTTGTACAGTACAATTTTGTAACCAAATTTAAGTATGCAAGTATCACATTGCCTTAATACCCAAGAACCAGACCGCTATCAAATACTCATACGATGGAATATATAGTTTCACAGACACTAGAAAAGATCCTCAAGCATATCTTATCCAGGTAAAGTTTATTTCCGAATGCAGCAATGAGAAGCAAGATCCTAGATCAGAACCAACTACCAATATTCTAATCCCATGATAGCTGGATCCTAAACAGTCAATCTCAGACAGATTTTGCATAAGCAGAAAACACTTACCTCGACATTAACTTTGTCATGAAGTTCAAGTTTCAGCTCATAGAGATGGTTTTCTGCCCCAGCTGTTCCAGAGAATGTAAAAACCCCATCTGGATCAAGGTTAACCTTTGCATTCTTAGCATCTGGGAGTAGCACTGTAAGATATACCTTGTCCAACCGTTGGGCCCATTTTACCTCAGGATGTCGGCTACAAAAGAGAGATCGCTTCAGTAGTGACTTCTAGAATAATCACATAACAGAAAGACGAGTCATAAAGACGAAACACATCATGCATCCCAAGGAAGTACTTCCGTTAGAATACAGAACTCATATATCTACATCCACACTGGTGTTTGTACAAACTAATGAGATTTTGGAACAATGCAAGAGTTGAGACTGCATAGTTCTGGAACATCATTTAACGCAAAGACATACATTATCAGGCATAGTTGAATCCTTTCAATGGCTAAAATCATGGAACAACCATTTTCAACATGTTGCAAAAGAAGTAGCGACATAACCATTTACATTCACAAAAAATGAAAGGTTCTTGGTTGTCAGAGCTAGAGGCCAAGCAGGAATTTCAAATCAGCAAGTACTAACGTCTTGTACCAACAGCCTATTGGACTGTTGGTAGCACCAAGACTTCTAAAGTATTGGTGGGGGGTGGGAGGTCAAGGGTTCAAGGTTCTTGCCTCCCACCATATACTTGCCACTTAATTGTGGCTGCCACTTTCAAGTGACTTTCTCCGATGGAGTTCTGTCGGTTAGACTCCCCCCTCCCTTCAGCTAGAGTAGGTTGTACAACTGTTATTGTTACGGCTAAAAAAAAAAAAGTACTAACGTCTTGCAAATGTTCACTCTCTTTGATATTACAGCCTGGAACTGAATATTGGATTATTAAATTAAAATTAATAATCTAGGATAGTATACTCGTAATACATTTAAAATTATGTATTAGTATTATACTTTAGCAATGACATAGCTCAACATTCAGCAATCATGCTGCAAGGGAAAAAATTTTTTAAAAATTCCAGACATTAAATTTCTTCCTAAACTATGGGATATGGAGCCATCAAAAGTTTCCAGCATATTTTTCTATAAACCCGGAACATGAATACTTCTCCAACCCCCCAAAAAAATCATCCGATAAATTAGAAAACATAAACAGGATACAACAAAGGATGTATTTAAGAGGACTATCAACAAATGAAGCAAAGTAACAAAAATCAAACCGTCCAAAATCATGGCAGAGATAAAATAATAATGAATTTGAAATTCGGCAAAGCAGAATAAAAAAAGGAGGAAAATCGTGTAAAGAAGATACCTCATATTTATGTTTTGTTTCTGGAGGAAGGAGGAGAGGGAGAGAAAGGAAAACCCTAGAAGATGAAAGAAAGAGAAGGCCACGGCAGGGCTACGAAGTAGTGCTTTTTTAAGAGTAAGCGTCGCTCTCTCCAAAACTGCTAGAGGAGGCTTCTCTTAAACCTCTAGGGCTGTTTTTGTGCGTATACGCTCCCACTCGAAACACGGTACTCCTCCGTGTGTTTCTGCGCCAAATGGGCCGCTGTTACAATGTGCACGCTTGAGATTTGCCTGTGTCATATCCAGAGTCCAATGAACAGGTCAGTCTGTTTCTCTATTTGGGCCTAATGATAGGCCCAATGTTTGCGAAGAGATGGAACCGTCTCGTCGGCCGTCTATACCTTCATCTGCAATCTACTATTTGTCATTTCCCATAAGCTCATCAATCTCCTTTTGATATGGAAGTTCCGTGCCCGCTAATCCAATGGAAGTTTCGACTTGCCAACAAATAATCGACACCAAAAAAGACCTTTGTCAGATATTATGTCGAATCAAACTGTAAAATTATGTAGAGAGAGAAAGAAAAACCGAAAGCACTGTCTATCGGCTTCGAATCCTTTGTCTCCAAAGTAGTTTCTTTGTCCCCAAAGTAGTCTCTGTCCCTTATTTGTATAGCTGCAACGTGCCTCTAGTCTTTTGTTAACCCAAACTCAAATATATCAATAATAATCGATTTGCAAGTTTACTCAAAATCAATTAAAACAGATAACTCAAAAACTTTTTTTATTTTCTTTTTAACAAAAAATATTCTTGTTGATCATAAACATAGAAATCAACTAAAACTCTTGTCTTAGGGATTAACCCCAACCATTGCGACAAGATTTTTTGTGGTTTCTTTTTTTTTAATAATATTTAGATAGAGAACACAAACCTTAAATGGGATAAACGAAAGGAAAAATTTTGAAAATCAAACTAATAAGTATCGCGATTACCTGACTAATAAAGAACACGAAAAAAAAGACGGAATGACAAATGAAAGAGAGGTTTCTCATGTTGAGAATTAAATAACAATAGCATCAAGGAGGGAGAGTGGTCGTAATCGTTAATAGTAATTGTTAAAAAAGAAAAGAAAAAAAAAACACTCGTTAACCACTACTTAATAGTACCTTCTTGGTTTGTTTATATGAACTTCTGTTACACTTTACCGCAATAGTACACTGGACATTGGATATGAGCTGGTGGGGCTGTCGAGCAAAATACCCAAAAACAACTCTTGTGCCAAACCGGCGGTGGATTCCATCACACAATTTGCATGCGCCCACCCGGAATCTCCGTTGCGTTTGAGCACAGGTTTCTTTATTTAACCTTTAGCATTCTCCATTATCACCTTTTCCTCGCCATCATCGTTTGCAATAAATTAAGCACAATTGACGCTAGATCCAATCATCCCCTGTGACGAGGTGAAATCTAGTCAAACGAGTCAAGTCGAGAACGGCCCAGCTCACCTGTCAAAGATCGGGATCTTGTTCCCCAATCCATCTCAATTGGATGCTTAAATTAATTATTCCATGATTAAGGAGCTGAATATGCAAGTTAGATCCTTTGGAAGTACTAGAGAATATTTATAGCACTTGTACTTGGAAATATAACAACGAGGTCTATCCTCTACATGACATCAGAAAGCAACTTAGGACGACGGCATCAGTACGGTCAAATCACTCCATCAGTTACGAGTTATGCAAATAATCAAAGTGTCTTTGAGTGTAATCTCATTGATCACCTCCTCGTATAATAAGGATATCTGAGACGAGATGTCTATTGTCGACGGGGAAGTGAATGAGCTAACGGAGGATCCAGGCAGGCCAAGGTGTCCGCACTGTGCCAGCTGGCAAACTGACCAGCAGAACTTACTGGTTACGAAACGCATTTGATAGAAATGAAAACGACACTGGTTATTGAATATGTGACGTAATACGTTGTACCAAGAATTACATGACAAAAGAGTCCTCGTCCGACCCGGTTGGGCAGTAATCATTTGCTGGTGGTTCCGGATCGTTGGCGCTGTCACCATTTGACTACTCTCTCTGTGCTGGCCAAAAGTGCCCCTTTGTCAATCAATTTAAAAAGTTAGGGAGGGTCCTGGATACTTGGAGCTTGGACGCCAGTTCTTGAATCTTGATGGAGAAAAGAGGAAAAAACCTGAGGAGTCCTTAAACTATTATCGTTGTCATCTTTTGGCTCTCCATCTAAAATTTGTTTCCGATTGATCCTTAAACAATTAAAAATGCATACTTTGAGGACTTCTGATGACTTTAGCCACAAATCTGACCGGAAGTAAAGGGCATTTTTGTCCGTTCATGTTTGCACCCTCGGGACCAGCAATTAAGTAGCGTAAAAAGAGATTAAAAGATGCAACTCTTCAATTCTTAAGCAAGGCAAAATCAAAGCAACGGAAATCCTTTCCAAAAATCGAGTTTTGCATTTCAGGGATACTTTTTCTCTCCATTTTCAGCCTTTATTCACCCCTCATTGCAGCTTACAACGTAGTAAATTTTGGTGCCAGGGGAGATGGGAGAACAGATTCCACAGCAGCATTTCTCTGGGCCTGGATGTCAGCTTGCAGCTCAGCTAGCCCGGCAACAGTTTACGTGTCCCGAGGAAACTTCTTGATTAGAGCGGCATCTTTCTCAGGGCCTTGTAGGAGTAGAATCCAGTTCCAAATAGATGGAACTCTTGTTGCTCCTGATAATTATTATGTCATTGGCAACTCTGGATTCTGGATTTTGTTTTATAAGGTCAGTAGGCTGACCATCAGTGGTGGAACCATTGATACCCGGGGAAATGAATTTTGGTCTTGTAGGAAGAATGGCAACAATTGCCCGGCTGGAGCAAGGGTAAGTCTCCTGATCAAAGAATTGTTTTTGATTTGACACATTTGGGCTGTGGAAATTAATTGAGTCAATTCTTTATGGTGAAATTGAATGCAGTCGATGATGGAATTTGATCTTGGCATCTTCCCCCTCGTCGTTTCCAATGTTATACGTGCAAGAAAACCCTAATTTTTCTTTCTTTTGCAGAAGAAGAAGATGAAATTTCAACAAATGGGCAAAACTCGATTTTTAGAAAGGATTTCCGTTGCTTCGATTTTGCCTTGCTTAAGAATTGAAGAGTTGCATCTTTCAATCTCTTTTTACGCTACTTAGTTGCTGGTCCCGAGGATGCAAACATGAACGGACAAAAATGCCCTTTACTTCCGGTCAGATTTGTGGTTAACGTCATCAGAAGTCCTCAAAGTATGCATTTTTAATTGTTTAAGGATCAATCGGAAACAAATTTTAGATGGGGGGGCCAAAAGATGACAACGACAATAGTTTAAGGGTTCCTCAGATTTTTTCCTCAGGGAGAAAATGATAAAAGGTTACCACTACCGACTGCTGCACGACCATTGAATTTTAGTTAAAGTACATTTGGCCCCGTCTGATTTAACGTTTTTGCCTCATGCTCCCTGTGCTATTTTCAAATAGCCACTTCACCCCCTTATGCTTTATGTTATAAATAAATAAGGATTATCGAAATCTTGATAGTGCTAAAATAGGCTTCTCAAATGTAGATTGACCCAAGTTGGGCTTTGCGACCTGGCCAATTCGCATCGAGGTTGGAAGTGCATTTTTATTTTTCCCCCTTTTTTTTTTTACGAGCTTATGAGAATTGAAGAGCTAAATAAATATATTCACTTTGAGGATCAATCACAAAGCGTTTGGTAGTGGAATCGAGAATTTGAGACAACATGAGAGAGTTAACAATAGACGCTTGAAATAAGAAAGGATGGATGGGATCGTTGCACAATTTTCAAGACCAAAAGATGAACGGGATTAGGAGCAATTCAACAAAAACATCATATCATTTTATAGACGCCTTTGATATTTTGTCATGTAGCTAGTATTGACGCTTTGATATTACTTATTACAATCATCAAGGGGATTATGAAGTGAAATGCTAACACGCAAAGGGTTTTAAGGTATTTTACCCTTAAATTTTGGTTTTATATCACGTTAAACTAGTTTTATTCAGAATTAGTAATTAGGTAGGAGTGAAGTATCTCCATCTCCAACTCCCTCATATTCTATTGCAAGGTATGCGTATTTTTTCTCGTACAATTTCTTGAACATTTGAATTTTGGTTTGTTTGCACACTTAATTTTTTTTGTGAAAAATTATTTTCTTGTAATATAAAAAGTAAACAAGGCAGGTTTTGGAAAATTGATCAAAAGATGCATTTGGTGGTGGATTACACCAGGACAACTTCTCATTAATAGCAACAAAATTACCCGAGAGTGAAAGTGGATGCTGAATTAGTGTACCTGTGTCTACTGTCTCCTATGCAAAATCGCTCGTTAGAGATAATCAACAGTACTGTTGCCATGTTTGGATTGTCATTTTCTGTCGGAAAATTACATCGTTTTTCGTGATCACATTTTTCTGTTACTTTTTTTTCTCATATACATCAAATCGCTACAGTATTTTTTTCATGAAAAATCATGAAAAATGCAATTCAAACGGGGCGTGCAATGCATTTTTCGACGTGCATAACAAGAGATGGAGAGAATTCAAGGCTACTTATTCATTATAGTAATTTTTATTATCTTAAATGGTGTTTGGATTAACATTTTTTATTAAAATTTTTTATATTTTTTGTGAACATAAATTTTAATTATTTATTTAATTTACAAATATCAAATCGATTTTATAGTAAATTTTTTTATAAAATCTCAAAAAAAAAATTAGCCCGGCCTGGAAAAAATATAGGGAAAATCGTTCAAAATGTCCCTCACATTTTACAAGATGACTTTTTTCGTCCTTCAATTTTAAAAGTGTAATTTTACGTCCCTTACAAATTCACATTGACCAAATTTGGTCCCTACCTAGGTTTTCAATTAGTTTTTGCCCGGAATCCACACGTGACTTACATGTGATCATTTTTTAAGGGCAAAATTGTCAGGTCAAATTTTTACATAATCTGATTCATAATCCCTCACATTTCACAAAATAAATTTTTTCATCACTAACATTTTACAAAATGAGTTGTTTCTTTCCTCACATTTGAAAACATGAATTTTTCCATCCTTCATATTTTTCAAAATAAAATTTTTCGTCCCTCATTAATTATGTGTACGAATAGTTTTTTTTTCTACAAACCCACGTATATGTCTATTTGATTTTACCTGAACAGTATGAATAACATGTAATTTATCTCTATTGGATTTCATCTAAACATGCTAATCATAGTTATATACATGCTATTCAATAGATATATATAGGGGTTTAAAACTAATAATTTTGTTTGAAACCCATTTATATTTATATGATTTCACCATTTGAACCTATTTAATATTTGTGACATTTCTCTTTTGATAATAATTTATTTATTGAGTTATATAATAAGGTCATTTAATTAATGGGTCCTAACTCGAATTCTATAATTGTGCTAACAAATTTCAGTTTAAATCTGAAGTTTTTATTCAGCACTTTTAAGACCAACAGTTGAATTATTTACCTTGTGATTTTGTTAAAATTTGAAAGTGCCAATCACTTATTCCTTTTTGTCATACTTTTCTTTTGTTTACTTTTTATATCCAAACTTAATTCGATATAAACACTTGATAATATTTAGGATTAAATGCCTTTTTTATTTTCAAATTTCGAATAAAAGAAAATGAATATAAGTGAAAAACTAACAATTTTTTTAAATCCATATATGTCTCTATTTGATTTCACTTAAGCAATACGAATAGTGTGTAATATATCTCTATTTGATTTCACATGCTATTCGTACTATTCAGGTGAAATGAAATAAATATATATATGGATTTAAAAAAAATTATTCACACATATGATCAATAAAAGATGAAAAATTTTATTTTGAAAAACGTAAAGGATAAAAAAATTCATTTTGTGAAATGTGAAGGAGGAAAAAATTTATGTTATAAAATGTGAGGGATTATGAATCGAATTGTATGAAATTTGATTTGACAAATTTACCCTTAAAATATGATCACCTGCAAGGCACATGGTGAATTCCGACCAAAAACTAGTCGAAAACCTATGTAGGGACCAAATTTGACCAATACAAATTGGGCAAAAAACTCCAGCGGCCATTAAACTGTTGGCCGGATCATGTTTTGACCATCGAACTATTTTTTGTCAATAATTGACCACCAAACAACTTAATCAGTAAACTCGCAACCATTTCGTCGGTAATTGCTCTTAATTTCTGAAATTAGCATTACATGTGGCAAAGTGCAGGGTCAATTTTGTCCAACAATTTTTCGACCGTTTACTTGCATAAACCCATCAACTGATAAGAAAAAAAAAGTGCAAGCCAATTAAACTAACTTCCATTCTCAAAATTCTCAGCCACTGCTATCAAATGATCGTTGTCAAGATCAAGAGGCAACCTCAAATCAAGTTTTTGCACGTCAGCCCTGCTATGACTAATGAATTGAAGCAAGCCCTCTTTACTACTGCCATCGTAGACCAACAAAGAACTTAAAGAAACAGAGCCCCCTGCTAATTTTAATAAAACCCCATCCGCTAGAGTCCTAGAAGTCCTCAATTCCACTTCTTCCACTTCTTTGAGAGTCTCTAATCCCTTGATAAATGCTGAAAAAGACACGTTATCTCCCACGAACTCACAGTTTTTCAGCTTCAATTTCTCCAGTTTCTTGCAATTCCTCCATAGAAAATTGAGGCCATAATCAACCCCTTGAGTTCCACACAGGGAAAGAGAGTAAATTGAGTTTAGCATCAAGAACTGGAGCGAAGCCATTGTAGCTGAACAATTCGGTTTCGCTTCCAGTTATAAAGACCGAGAGGTCTTTAAGAGGGCGGAGAGATGCAATCCACTGGAAACAGAGAGGTCTGGAGAGAGTGATGGTGAGCGAAGAGAGATGAGGGCAAGAATTGGAAAGGGAAAGCAGAGAGAACCCAGAAACGAGCTCAGCCAAGAAGCGGAGGTGACGGAGGTTGGGGCAAGAAGAGGCGAGGGACTGAAGGAGGTGATGGGAGAAAGAGGAGGATGAGGAAGAAGAGGAGTCGGTGAGCGATAGAGAAGAGAGATAGGGATGGTGGGAGAGGAAAGAGGAGAGAGAAGGAATGGCATGGGGAGTACCGATGAAGGTGAGAGCGAGAGCGACGGTGGAGGAGCAGAGTAGACGGAGCCACCGCTTCGAGACTAAGAGACAGACACACTGCAAAAGATTTTCACTTTCCTTCTCTTTGATGGTTTAATGAAAACTGAGTTATAGGGTCAGTAAATTGTTAGACAAAATTGCCCTTACGCTTTGTCACGTGTAATGCTAATTTCAGAAATTAAGAGCAATTACCGATGAAATGGTCACAAGTTGACTGATTAAGTTATTTAGTGGTCAATTATTGACAAAAAATAGTTCGATGGCCAAAACATGATCCGGCCAATAGTTTAATGGCCGCTGGGGTTTTTTGCCCATACAAATTTGTAAGGGACGTAAAAATACATTTTTAAAAGTGAATGACGAAAAAAGTTATTTTACAAAATTTGAGGGATGTTTTGAATGATTTTCCCAAAAATATAATACTAGCATTAAACATGTGTGGTGTTCTGTGCCACGGCCTAAAGCCAACTACCTACTGTCATGTTGTGGACCTGGCTTTGCGGGTCAAAGATTGGAATCCACTTAAGAAATGACGTGAGCTATGACGACTACACGAGGAAGGGGCGATGTTGATAGATGCAGTTTGTCATTGTCCTCCCCCGTCTCTCTCTCTCTACATACTTTTTGTTTTAGTATGGGTTTGTTTGGATTGAGCATTATTTCTCCAATTTTATTTGCTTACATCATCATTACAATTTCTAATGCACCTTTTTATCTTTCCAATTATCTTTTTATCTCACATATATCACGTCACAAAAAGTGTTACAGTAAAAATATCCCAAATAACTTACAATCCAAACAAACCCTATATTTTTCCGCAGCGGCAGTACTAGGGCCCCTGCCCGCAGCCACACATAAGGCTGTCAACGG